ACTCCCTATGTGCCAGGTATAGGATTTGCTAGTAATTCAAATCTCAATTTAGTGAATTGATTTTGATTTCATACCAGCTTCCCTTCACAATATTGACTATGAGATTGCAGTCTAAGAATTTTGAATTTTTTTGTCAAGCAAGAAAAAATTGATCTATAATCCTTGTATTTGTGGTTTCCAAAATCGTGCTAACTCAAGTAATTTGTCTCTTTTTTTTTCATGTGCTCTTAACATTATCACAAGCTATATAATACCTGCTGTTGATATTTGTCTGATTGAAAGGTTTTCTTGGTGTGATATTTCCCCAGCAAAGGAATGTGTGTAAAGAGATCTCTCAAACCACTAGCTCCAACCAGCATTAACGCTAATGATGTTAAGATGCTGTGTACATCCAGTGTTCTCATAGCACTTCTCTGACCCAGGGATAAATGACAGACTTTTTTAGTTGTGATGTATAGTCAGCCCATGGGTTCTGTATTCATGAATTCAACCAACTTTCTTGTCATTATTTCCTAAACAATACAGCATAACAATTATTTATATAGAATTTAGATTGTATTAGGTATTATAAGTAATCTAGAGATGATTTAAAGTATGCAGGAGGGTGTGTGTAGATTATATGCAAATACTATGCCATTTTATATAAGGGACTTCAGCATCCTCAGATTTTGGTATCCACAGGGAGTCCTCGAACCAATCCCCCAGAGATAGCAAGGGACAGCTGTAACTGATTACTCCATTTAGATGTGATTTATTCATTTGAGCTATGAGAGACTTAATATCAACTAATCCAACCCATTTATTTTTAGGATACGATTAAGGCCCAGAAATCTTAACACTATGCTCTAGGCTTTTGGTCTTCAGTCCAGTCATGCTGATATTTGCTGATAACTTTATAATAAGCTTTGTGATAGTAAAAAGAAACCATGAAATATTTAGCAATTTTTCATTTTCTCTTAAACATCTCAATACAATAGTGATCATTTCTGTGGTATATTGTGTTTTTCTACAAGCAGAAATGAATGTTGAACCCCTACAAAGAGATAAAGGTTATTTGATACATGTTGGTGGTCTCTGCCCTTCAGTATCTGAGGTATGCCAAGATTTCTTTTTTGAACTTCATTTTTAAATTGATTAATTGTTCATATTATGATTATTTGTTGTTTTTCTACTTTTCACAAACTTATTTCTCTTTTTTTAGGCTGATTTAAGGTCTCATTTCCAGAAATACCAAGTTTCTGAAATTTCAATTTATGATTCTTCTACTAATTACAGGTGTGTTTCCCAAATTCAGTCAAATGTGCGTTACTGCTGTTCGCTAGAGGTTCTGTACCAGACATCAGTCACAGTGGTGATAAAGTCAAGGGCCATTCCCACAGGAGTTTCCCAGGCCAGTATAGGGGGACACATAGACAAATAGCTGCAGTCATTAGTTTGTGCTGTTCTTAATCAGATCTTTCTTTGATTATACTTTGTAGCTTGTTATTAGTGGTATATAGCAGACTTACTGACTTTTGTGTACTTTATCTTGTTACATACTGTTTCATAGGGAAAGTAGAGTGCCTTAGTTAAGGAGAATGGGCTCCAGAAATAGATAACTTTGGTTCAGTTCCCAAGGTCTGTCAGCAACTTGATGAATAAATTTGGGCAATTTACTTAACCTTTTTGTATCTCAGCCTCTTTGCTTATAAAGTAAGGTTAATAGTACTGTCATAGCATTGTGAAACTATTATGAGTTAAATATATAAAGCACTAGGAGTAAAGCCTGGCACATAGTAGATGTGCAGAA